AGGGAGCTCTGCCGGAGCCCAGGCGGGGTTCTGGAGGCAGTGAACTTCAGGTATAACTTCGTCTGACACGTGTAATCCCTTCCCCTAAACTGTTATCCCTTGGGTATCTGACCATAACTATGGAAGGTTATTACCGTTACTTTGCTATGTACGTCAGGACATGTTTTATGAAAGGCTAAATGAACAAATATATATGAAAGTTCAGATAAACGTGAGCGAATTCAGGCGAATTGAATAGGGGGGAAGGTGGGAGAAAAGTGTTTTGCATGTGTTCGACTGGGTCAACCCAAGGCTGAGCTCCTCTAAGTTGATGTGGGCTCAGTGCTATGTTTTATTTATGTTTGCTGGGTTGGCTGTGTGACCTTTTGAGGGATGGGCCTATCCTAAGTTGGACGCACCAGTCGTTGTTTCTTTCCTGGGGTTTCTGAACAGGAGGATGGGCACCCTAAGTTGGGAGGACTCAGAATCCTGATGTTTCTTTTTGGGTTGCTGAAAACGGAGCTGGGAATATTCTAAGTTGTGTAGACCCAGTTCTGTGTGTGTTTTCTTCTGAGGGAGACAAAGGCATAAGGCTGACCGTACCCTTAAGTTAGGGCGGCTCGGTCATAAGCCATGAACAAGAAGGTCAACCGAAGTATAAAATTTTGATATATGTTATATGAATCTACATCAACTGACAGGCCGCGCACCCTAAGTTGGGGAAACCAGTAAGTAAGTCAGGTAGAACAAAAAGAGGAGAGAGATAAATGAAGAATATAATGAAGGTAACCCGGGCAGGCTGAGCGTACCCTTAAGTTAGGGCGGTTTAATCTTATGCTCGTGATAATATGAAGGAGCAGAGAGTTAGTGTAAATCTTATTTTATTTCCCCTTCTAAACACAAGGCAAGATTGAATGTCTCCCTAAGTTGGGTAGGTCTGATCATCTGCCTAGTAAGAGAGAAACATATAAAGTTTGTGCAAGTACAACAATGGTTGTTCTCTTATATTGTCGTGGCGGAGACTAAGCGTACCCTTAAGTTAGGGCGGCTTAGTCATACATCGATTCTGATTTTTCAGGCAGATCAGGCGTACCCTTAAGTTAGGGCGGCCTGGTCATATTGTCTTATGTACCTAAAACTGTTTAAGCTAGCTAGGCGTACCCTTAAGTTAGGGCGGCCTAGTGATATGCTCTTGTCATTGATGTTATGTAGGTTGGACGTACCCTTAAGTTAGGGCGGCCTAGTGATATGCTCTTGTCATTGATGTTATGTAGGTTGGACGTACCCTTAAGTTAGGGCGGTTTGACCATTCGTCGTTCGTACTTGTTTTAGGCAGGTTAGGCACACCCCTAAGTTTGGGCAGCCTGATCCTATGCCCTATGTAACTTTGTCTAGAGCTGACTAGGCATACCCTTAAGTTAGGGCAGTCTAGTTTTATGCTTCATGTCGTCAGTTAAGTAGAAGCCAGACGTACCCTTAAGTTAGGGCGGTCTCGTCATATGTTTTATGACTAGAGTCGATGTGGTGTTGGGCATACCCTTAAGTTAGGGCAGCCCAGTTGTGTGTACCCTTACTTGTTTACTTAGGCAGGTTGGACATACCTTAAGTTAGGGCATTGTCTGATCCTATGCCATATGCAAGGGGGTCTATTAAGGGAAAAAACTGAGTGATCTAACGAACTACTTGGGTCAAACTTATGTGGGAATGTGAGAGATCTTTGTTCATGCATGCTTGTGGGGTCTCACCTTGGGGTATCTTTTTGATAGGTTAGTTGCTTAGATGCTCGCCAAGTGCTGGAGCCATAGGTAGATGAGATGGATGATGGGAGGGAGAGCTTGGGATGAAGGTAGGGATGACCTTATTTGAAGCTAAAATTGACGGTAGCTCACGATATCATCCTTTGAAAGGGGATCGTGTAAACTATCTTCAATCCTAACTATCAAACAAGTGTCAGGAGTTAGTCCCAAGTATAGCTTGCTTTGTCTTTTTTTGTTTTCAGCGTTGTATAAATCTTGACAGCCTCCTGTTCCTACGCGAAGCGCTGCCGAAATTTCTACAAATCTGAAAGAGTTAGTTATTTTTGGACTCGTAGCAATTCTGAAAAGGCATTTTTCCTATGGGAAGCGCTGCCGAAATTTTGTAGAACCTGAGGAGTTAGAATATTTTTGGCTAGGGGCTACTTAGCAGATCCATCTTGAATAGAGGAGAGGCTCAGTGACCTGGTACTAATAAGGGGAGCTGACGATGAGAATAGTTGAGGAGTAGGATTACGACTTGGAGAGTATTCTCCTTTTGGGCATGAACATAGTAGTGTTGCTCTTTGGCCTGTACTGTGATGCAGATTTCCGTATTTCGCTTGAAGGCTTGATTTGTTCAGCCTGATCCTTCAAAAGGGTCACTCTTCTGTTATCACTGATTACAGGTCGGTTGCCGATTCGTCGGTTTACGACTCAACTTTCCTATTCTCCAGCCTCTCAACTTAAGGCCTTGGCCCTTGCCGGGATTTATGTGTTTCCTTGGATTTTCACCCAGTTTCTTTATAAATGGCCATTTCTTAAGGGCGTAGTATTGTTGTTGAGGATTGGTGGGAAATGGTTGGGCTTGTGTGCATAAGGCAGGGTGTGAGCTACAAAAGGTTGAAAAGTTGACCCCTTTAGCATGTGTGATGTTGTTTCAATGTTGTGTGTATGATAGCAGGTATGTATAGATGAGTCTCGATTGAGTCATGTTGAGTGATTATGTTTTGGATTCAGATGGGCAAACCACATAACTATCGTGAGAGTGAACCACCCCACAACCTTTTGTATGAGTGAGATTGTTCTTTTCCCATCCTGATAATGTGATAGTCAGAGTAGGCGCACGCTCGGGTAACCCTCACAGGCTATGCGACCGCATGCCCACGTCTTTCCTCACTCAATGATGTTAGTTGGTCAGACGTTAGTCCCGGGCCTGGAATTCAAGGTCCTTGTCCAGGACATCCCAGGTCCCAGGCCCAACACGGAAGGGGTTATCCCTCGCACGGAGGCTGAGCCTACTGGCTCACACGACGCAGCTCCGGGGAAACAGAAGCGTCGTGAGGATGAGGGGTTGTCCCCCAGCAACTCGGTGCGGCGAGGTGCTCATGCTTCTTTGGCTAACGTCAAATAACCTTTTTCCTTTTTTCCTTGTGTTAATCTATTTTGGTGGAACGATAGAGTTCCGGGCGGAAGGGTTAGCACGTCGTTGGTGATGCGCCAGACAACTCACCACTGCCCCGAATCCCTTCCTGCCTCAGGGACAATCTTACCCTGCACCCCTTGGGGCACCTCAGGGTGCAGAAGACGGTAAGGCCCTTAGGCCGGTTTTGCGCTCGCTAAAGGTTTACCCCCCTTAGCGCGCACTTTAGTCGACGCCTGAGCGTCGAGAGCGACCCCATGGCTCAAGTGGGGCCGCTCGGGTATGGACACCACGTAATGCGCCGTCATCACGACCGCTCGCGTAGGAATGCATTGCTAGTCGGTATGCGCAGGTCCTGCGTCCGCGCGGCTTTATACCAAGCCACGCGCGCAGTACTTGCCGACTTCCGCACCTGAAAGTTATGGGTCAAGCGGAAAGGACAAAAGCGCGTTATGGCCAGCAGACCCGAGTTTCGGTAGCGCGAAACGACGTGGACGAGGTGCCAGTCCAAGTCGGCATATGGGAATCCGCGTACGAGCCTCCAACGTCTCGAACATCACGTTGCCTATGGGTCTGATTTTGGGCATCATCTGCACGCATCTTTCGTGCTGGCCTACCCCTTCTATTTGATAAGGCCTACCAGACTATACAAGGGGGAATATGGGTTAGGTAGAGAGAGAAAAGGGGGGGAACCTCTTTCTCTACCTGCGGTTGCTTCCTCCTTCGAGTTATCATAGTTAGACGTTGTAGTCCGTGGCAGCCGTCAAAGTCAAACCCCTTGGTTTTTGGCTACCAAGACAACCCTGAAGCTGTCTACTCAACCCCTTTGCACAGGGTGGAGAAGAGGGTGCGGTCTTCAACCGCGCATGGCGGTTGTCTAGCGCCGAGAGGGTAACTCCTCAAAGTGTTGGTCAACCGACACTTGAGTGTCGAACACGACCCTCGAGATTGTCCAGGGTCGCGTGGTTACGAGTACTACGTAGTACCCCATTAACGCGAATGCTTGCATATGCCCGCATGGCTGGTCGATATAAGGAGGCCATGCGCTCGCACGACTCTTATACGAAAGCCCAGCGCGCGATACCTATCTGATTCTCGCGGCATAAAGTTATGGGTCGGATACTGAAGGGACTAGGAGTGTTGTTTGTGATATTTGTTTTGTGTTTTGTGGTGTGTAGATATGAGTGTGTGGTGTAACGCGTGGTGTGTGTGATGCGTCCTAGTCGACCGGCGCCAAGTCGCGTTTGGGACCTCAGCCCCCCAGTGCTTCGATTCGCGTGCGGGTTCGATTTTTGGGCGTTCGACCGCGCGTAACCCCCTATGCTACTGCGAACGAGAAACGCCCTCGGTTGGGCCACCTCTGCAATTGCATACGAAAAGCCTTCGCATGTGGTTCAGTAGCTCGACGGGGATACGCCCACCTAAGGGATGGTGACAGCTCCCGCAGGTGGAGGTAAGCGGTGCCTCGCGTGACCCTGTCCTGTCGTAGGGGCTCGCGAGAGGTACGGCTCGCGCACTCGGCCGGAGCGGCAAACGCTCTCCGCGACAAGTCCTGCAAAATCCTGCGTGACGCGGCCGGGAGGGTCCCCGTGCGGAACCGATGCACTCGAAAGGTGGCGCCGTTGCCGGGGATCTCGGCTTCCTACCGGGGTCCTTAAGAGAACGAACCCGGGTTAAGTGCAGGTTGATGGTCTAGGCAAAACGACAAAAACTTATGGTATGGATTGTCTTATATAAGAGAATCGTGTATGATATAGTAATAGGAATAAGCGAGTAGGAGTACGACTGAAGGTTGTATCCGAGGCTTTGAATAACTAATAGTAGAATGGTTGGTTGAACCTAGAGGTGGTATGAAGTAGGACAAGTCCCGTGGAACTTGACAAGCTGTCTGATGGGCTACCCTTTTCATTCCTACCAGGTTGGTTAGCAAAAGGAGATAAAGATGCCGGACGCAGATGGTATCGAGCGCGGCCCGGTTGCTACGCCGGAGGACTTCGTCAAGGCTATTGAGAAAAGGGAGTTGGCACGACTGCAAGTGTCGAAGGTTAACATCTTCTGGTTTGAAGAGGAAAGGGTGTCTAAATGGCTAGAGTTGTTGGAGCAGGTTACAGGCGAGGCATCGGATGAAGACAAGTTCAAGTTATTACCCAGATATGTCTGGTGGGAAATCCGTCCCGAGATAATGAAGGTGGCTGCTGGAGCAGGGGGAGATTGGGCCAAGTTCAAAGGAGAGATGCAAAGGCGTTTCAAGCTAGGGGATGGTCTGCTAGCAAAGGCAGACCTAGAAATGTTGCAGCGCGATGAGTTTACTACTGTGGGGGCTTTCGCAACAGCATTTGAAAAGATGGCGCGAAAGGTTCTAGGGATGGCAGAGGAAGAGCAGTGTGCAACCTTCCTGGGACACTTCACAAATTGGGAGGCCTCTGCACTGACCAAGAAGGGTGCGCCGGGGAAGAAGTTAACTTGGGCTGCCATAAAAGAAAGCGTAACAGACGGGGAGTTGGACCAGGTAGACATTTTTCAGATGCGACAAGCCAGGAAGAAAAAAAAGGCGTTGGATGCCACGACGAGCGACGAGCGAGATCTTAAGAAGATGGTAGAGGATGCGGTTGCCCAACTCGATACGGCGAAAGAGGCAAAGGAAGCGAGAAAGGCTATGGCAGCACCACAGACCCAAGGAAAAGCAAAAAAGACGGTGGTGCAAGAGGAGGAAGACGAAGAGGAAGAGGAGCCTGAACCTCTAAAGCTAACAAAGGCTCAGAGAAAGGCAAAGAATTTGAATCAAGGGGGGCAAGGCTCAGGAAAGGGGCAGGTCCCGCAAGTAACAGCGCTATCACCCCCTGAGTCGCATGGTCTGGCCGCGCCGGCACCCTATGGGCCGTGGCCGGGTTATGGACCTCCAAGTCCTTGGCTTGGGCACTGTTCATACGTACCATGGCCGGTGAGTGGACCGCATGGATCATGCGCGGGAGCGCCATTGAGCGCGGCTTCCTGCGGGTGTGCAGGGCCTCAGTCTCAACAGGTAAACCACCCGAACCCGCAGCCGAGCCAACCTCAACAGTCGGCCTCACAAGGATCGCAAGAAAACCAAGGCGGCGGATGTGGACAGAATCAAGGATGGGGCCGAGGGCGAGGAAATGGAAGGGGAAATGGTGGTGGTAATTCCACAGGAGGAGGAAATGGGGACTAGAATGCGTCAGGAAGTCAGGGTAGCCAAGAAGGTGGAAGGGGCTTTGGTAGAGGAAGGATAGATTGGAGGAATGCCATTTGCTGGCATTGTGGGCAGAAAGGTCACACCATCAAATTCTGCCATGTCCGAAGGAACCATGAAGATGAAGGTTTAATCAGTACCAATTATGATGGGGACATGTATGATAAATTTGGGTACTACATTGACCCAAAGACCCCTGGCGGGAAATTGGTCGTAACCGGAATAGAAGTCTATGAGAGATACTATGGCTCTCCCAGCGCAGGCCTCTGAAAGCGCATCAGCGTTGGGGAGACCACCTGCGTCCCTCACTGTTACAACGTTCAAGCGCTGCAAATCCTCTACCCACCTCAAAGTCCCATTGGGTTTGACAAAGCAAAACCAGGGGGATGCATACGGCCCACTCGAGTAGTCTGCCACATGTGTGCGGATCTTCCCATCAAGGTATTTGACTACCTTTTCTTCATCGATTGGATTAGGATATCGCGCACCTCGCAAGTTCCATGGCTCGTGAGGCACGGTGTGTATCCTAATCGTCGGGATTATGTCCACGTCCAGACGACCTCTCTCATCATCACTGAAGGCATATGCAGCGTGCCTTCCTCTTATGGTTTCCACCATAAGCTTCTCCTCTTGCGCCGTAAGGAAGCCAGGCTCCTCTATAGTCAGTGTGTTCTCTGTTTCAGGAGTGATACGGCACGGCCCATTCTCCGCATTTTCTCGCATCTGCCGTATCAACTCTCGTTCCCGCTCGTAGTAAACTTCTTGCTCTTCGGCAACGAGCACGGGAACAGGGCGACACTTCTGATCTACCCTTTTGTACCGCTTTGTGACCCCTGCTTGAGCCCACCCCTAAAAAAGGTCGAGTTGCGCTTTGGGGCTGAGCTCCAATTGCTCCACCTATCCTTCCTGGCGTTCGATATACCAGTTTCATTTTTCCTTCTCCCATCTGTTCCACCACTTTTTCTCTCAAGACTTCCACAGCCTCTGGATCCGCCATCCCGTAGGTCGACACTATGTCCATAGCATCACCTATACTCGCCAGGCTAAGGGTCAGTGCCTCTGACCCTCTTTCCTCTTCAAACTTACTGCCTTTTAGTCTCAACCTCTCCTCTTCTGACTCTTCTATAGTGAAAGAACCAGGGTTGGGCCGGTTCCTTATACTCCTAGGTCATGTGTTCTTGCAAGTGATAACCTCATAATTTCCGCATACTGGATCGCACAAGACGAGGAACATAGTTCCGTCATGCTTGTTGAGTATGACAGTCTCTGTTCGACTCAGGAACGATCTACCCAGTAGAATGGGGTGATCAAGGTCAGGCACTGCGAAAAAACAACTCCTTACTTTTACTTTCCCAATCTCCAGAATCACCGATGATGCGGTCCCTATAAATAGTGACCGACTGTTCGCCCCCATCAAGACCCCATTATCAGAGCGATCTATCTCAATCCCTAAACGCACAGCATGCTCCTCTTTTATGAGGTTCATTTCAGCGCCATTGTCCACCATCGCCGTGCAAGTCTTCCCCTCTACCACTACATCTAGGCACCCACATGCGACAGACTTCCACTCCATCTTTGTACCAACCTCTGCCCATTCTGCCTCTTTAGGGATTATGGTCCCTAAATGTACAATGACCACCATCTTTCTAGATAATCGCGCTTTTAGCTCATCCCTGAGCCTTGGCGCCGAAGCCAGGACGTCCTTTAGGTTCATAAGGTGATTATGGCCCTCAAGGATCTTGTCCATTATCTCCTCCACGTCAAACCCTTCCTCCACTCGGATCACGTACTTCTTTTTTTTCCCTTCTGAGGCCTTGTCCGTATCAGGTTTGGCGCCTTTTTTTTTGGCTCGTTGCTCGGCCTTCTCATCCTCTTCCTTTCTCAATCTGTCGTCCTCTTCCTCCTCTTTCCCCGGAACATCTACAATCTCTTTCTCCCCACTAGGCTCAGGAACATCCTTTGCTGGCTCCTCGGGGCTTACCGGCCCCTTGGCCCTTATCCTGACAGCATGCGGTACCCTCCCTGATCTGGAGGGGGGCCTATAAGCCATGCCGGACCGAGGCGTCGGCCCGAAAATCGTAACGCCTGGTAAGTTTTCAGATCCACCTTGCGACCCTGGACCCATATCGTAGAGGTACACCAGTGGCTCCTTACCTCTCCACTCCTTAACCTCTTCACACATATCGGCCAATTTTTGCTGGTACCTCCCGACTTTAGCCACTAAATCCTCCATCCTTACCATCGTTTGTCGGGCCTCCCTCCAGCAATCTTCCCCTATCTTCGCTTTTCGCGGCTCATTCCAACAATCCTCCTCTATCTCATCATCAGACTCTATTAAGATCGGCTCTTCTTTGATGGTGCCGGCGTTCCTTCCCTGCTCTACTTCCTCGTTTTCTCCTACTTCTTCCACCCCGATGTCACAACGGACCTCCTTTTCTTGCCAAATCTGAAACATAGCTGGAGGAGCGGGTGGCATGCCCGCCCCGGCTCGTCGTAGGGCTTCCTTCCTTGTACCCATCTGACAGGCCTATGACGACTATGCATACCCCTCGAGGGTTGATTCACATGAACATCGCACCGCAAGGGTGGACGAATGCGGTTGCCATGGTCCAGAGGCACATGGTGAGGGCGATGCAGTCCATAAGTCCTCACATTACACAACCTTATATTGATGATCTGGTCGTGAAAGGGCCTAAGGAGAAGGATGAGCCTGAGGTGATGCCGGGAGTCAGGCGCTTTGTCTGGGATCATATGCAAGACTTGTGCAAGGTCCTGGACCTTCTGAAGGAGCATAACCTCACTGCCAGTGGGCCGAAGTCGAGACACTGCATGAGCGGGGCCACTATCTTAGGATTTGTGTGTGACGAGAGGGGTCGTCAGCCAGATACTAAGAAGACTAATAAGATTCTCGAGTGGCCAACCCCGTTTGAGACTATCACGGAGGTAAGGAGCTTCTTGGGAACGTGTGGGTTTTGGAGGATCTTCATAAAGGGGTTTGCGGCGAAGACTGAGCGGTTGCGAAAGCTTGTGCGTCAGGGCCAAGATTAGGAATGGGGAGACAAGCAAGAGTCAGTAATAGAAGGTTTGAAGAAAGAGTTTGAGGAAGGAGGTCTAGTACTAGGGGTACCAGATCATGCGGCGGTGATGACCAGACCTTTCATTGTCGAAACGGACACAGGGCCAACTGCTTTAGGAGGTGTGTTGATCCAGCGAGACCTTAATGGGGAAGAACGACCACTAAGGTTTGAGAGTCGAACGCTCAATACAGCTGAGAGGAACTACTCACAGTTTAAGCGCGAAACCTTGGCAGTTCTTCACTGCTTAAGGATTTTCAAAAACTACCTCTTTGGCAGTAGGTTTGTATTGAGGGTGGACCCAACTGCTCTAAGCTGGTTCTCTCAAGAATTCGCTCCTTCAAATCCAACTATCGCCAGGTGGTTGACATTCATCTGGATGTTTGACTTCGAGTTCGAGCGAATCCCGGAAAATAAGAACAGAGCAGACGGACTGAGTCGGGTCGACTGGGATAAGAGTAACCAAGGGGTGATCGAGGATACTCCTCCAGTTGACGGGTTCCTGGACAGTGAGGAGGATGTGAGACTTCACATCAACTCCTGGTCATTGGTCGTGGGTAACTATGTTACTCCTGGGCGACCTGTGTGGCTTGCGCCTCCAGGGCAGGTACGACGACCAGACCTAGTCCTTAAGCCCTATGTTGAAGAAGACTCTTGGGGAATGCCAGGTGTGGATTGGATGATGGATCTGGCCTTAGCAGGCAAGTACCAATTACATGAGGACTTGCTTACAATTGAGGATGGGGCGTTACAGGTGGAAAAGCACGAGAAAGCAATAGGTGGAGTATACATGTTGACTAATGCGCTGCTTCAGGAGGAGGTGGCCAGGAATACGGTACAAAGCCAGGAAGAGGATGATAATGTAATCCATGAACGGGAAGATGATGATTTTGAAGAAGGAGAGACTAAGGAAGCATTTCGGGTAGAGGAATATGAGGGATTGTACCTTGAACTCGGAATGCTTCTCTCGTGTGAAATGAGGGAAAGGGACGCTTGTGCGAGGGTTTTAAAAATGAGGCCGAACTTTCTAGTAAGGGATGGCCATCTGTTCATGCGAAGCAAAGGGAAGGCTCCCAGACGAGTAGTCTGTGGCGTCACTCGCCAGATTGACATTATGGCAGCGTTACACGATGGTACGGTAGGTGGCCACAGGAGTACAAACACGACGTATCTCAAAATACACGAACTATACTATTGGGATGGCATGGGACAGATGATTGATGATTATTGTAAATCCTGTGTACCATGCCAGGAGCGATCCTCTCTTAGACCTAGAGAGCCGCTTCACCCAAGGTATGTTCGTGAGGTTGGAGCCGTCGTGCACCTGGATCTATTGGCGATGCCACTGGGAGTAGGGAGTTATAACTTTATCTTTGACGCGCGGGACAACCTCTCGGGGTTTTGTGGATGGCAGGGCCATTCACACAAAGACTGGTGAGACGCTGGCCCAATGCATCGAAGAATATTATCTCCGCTACCCCTTTGTCTCCAGATTTGTGATGGATAGAGGATCCGAGTTCACCTGTGCAGAAGTAAAAGCGCTTTTGAAGAGGTATGGGGTTATCGCCGAGTACACTACTGTGGCGCACCCCCAAGCTAATGCACCGATGGAAAGAGGACATAGCACCATCACGAATCTTCTCGCCAAATGGACTGATGGCAGACCCAATCAATGGCCGAACTTTCTAAGGGTCGCTTTCTTCGTGGATAATATCACCGTCAAAAAAAGCACCGGCTACGCACTGACTACGTTAAGGTATGGCAGGCATGCGACGTTCCCTATCGAAAGCTTCCTAAAGACTTGGAGACGGCAAGACCTCGAGACCAATCTGACATTTGAGGAGTTGCTGGACTCCAGGGCACGTCAGATTGGCGCTATAGAGGACAAAATTGAGGAAGCGGCGAGTAGGACGGCTGACAGTCGTACCAAGGACAAGTTCATGTGGGATAAGATGGCGAGAGCAAGGAAAGAACCCCTCAAGGTGGGAGACATTGTGGTGCTATACGACTCATCCCTAGAGAAGCAGTGGGCACGAAAGTTGGACAAGAGATGGCTGGGACCATACAGGGTCACCAGGAGTGGTCAACATGGAGCATACCAGATTGAGGAGTTGAATGGGACGGCGTGAAAAGACTGGGTGTCGGGCTCGAGGCTAAAGAAGTTTGTTGCTCGAGACGAGGTGAGCGTGGATCTCACCAGTTAGAGTCACCTTTTGAGTGCTTTATATAGGAATGTTAGTATAAATAGGATGTATAGGATATTGTTCTCAGTAGAATAGCGTGACAAGTTGTGACTTTTTGGATAGACTCGTGTGTGTATATATTGTCGCATTGTGAATATATATGCATATATAGATAGGCGGGTAGCTGGGATAGTTGTGGGAGGGCTATGTATGCCTTCTGTTGTGTTTGTCTAGAACTGCTTACCCTCTGTGTGCTCCTGTTTGTCTTCTCCTTGTTGTGCAGGCTTGACACCGCTTGGGGCAGCCATGCCAAGAGGGAGGGGAGGGGCAGAGCCAGTGGAAACCCCTTTGGGGGCGACCAGACAGAGGGCACAGATGGGGACCAGGAGAGAAGACATGCCTCCAGTCTTCCAGGGAGGGAACATTGAGTTGTTCCTGATTGAGTTCGAGAGGCATGCACATGAGTTTGGATGGGATGGCACCAGGATGTTGAGGGAGGTACGAGGCACAGGCGAGTGGGTAGACCCCATTGCCAACCTTGTCAGGGAGTCGCTAAGCTGGCAAGACTTTGAGAGGAAGATGGAGGGTCTGCATCCGTCGCCAGTGGGGAGAGATGGGCAGCCCATTCGGTTTGATTCCACTAATCTAGGGGACTAGGGGAGTTCCTATGGGCTTATGACCTGTATGCAGATGACCTCAATATTCCAGGAGAGTAGAGGATGGGGAGTTTTCTTCTGTACGTGAGACGACACATCAAGCCGTTTGTCAGATCTATTGTGGCACCTGCCATGAATTGGGGTCACTGCAAGAAGCTGCTCTGGAACCACTATACTCCAGCACGTCAGGCAAGTGGAAGAGGGAGTCTGGAGAAGAGAAGGAGGGAGCCAGAAGCAGAGGAGAGGAGGACCTTTGAGCAAGGCATGCCATCCGGGACTCGGAGGGAGGACAGGAGGAAGGAGCACAGATCCCATAGGCACGAGAGAGCGGGAGGGTCAGGTGGTCCAGGGGTGCCTCCACAACCTGCTCAGAGGGAGGTGGATTGTCCTATGCCGAACAAAGAACCAGACGTACCTCATGAGCCACATGTGCAGGGGCAAAGGGAGGAGCAGTCTGCCCAGGAGAAGGAACCGGACAGAAAAGAGAGAGCAGCGAGAGAGCAAGAGATCAAGGTTCAACTCAGGATGAAGAACCTTGCAGAGCTGCATGAGAGAATGCAGCAGGGAAAAGAGCCTGAGGAGGTGGATGACAAAAGTGGTAAGGGCACTCGCACTCAGGGAGGAGGACCTTCCCCTATTTTCAGAGGTCTAGGTCAGCTTTGACAAGCTGATGGACGTTGCGGGGAGGTCTGGAGGGCATCATCAGGAGATGGGGGTCAAGTTAGTCTCTACAGACCTACTCAACCTGAGGGGCGTGATGAAGGAAGGCTTTGCAGCAGCCAGAGCTTCGGATCAGAAGGTTGGAGAAAGGCTGACAAAAGTGGCACAAAAAGCGTATGGTCAGAGGATAGAATGGGAAAGAAAAATTGAAGACCTGAATAAGGATTTGGAAAGGCAGAGTAAGGAGATGGAGGCGGTAAAGGTGGATATGGTGAAGATTTGGGCGGAAAACGAGGCCGTCAGGCAGGTAAACCAGACCCTTAATAAGGTCAATGACGTCCTGAGGGCCTATCTACAGGCACAACACATCTTCTTCCAAGCAAAGGAGGTTGAATGAGAGAAAAGGATACAAGACCTCAAAACCAAGTATGCACGGCGGGCTCCAACTGCAGTAGTGGATTGGACAGAGGTCCAAGGGTTTGAGATCAGGGAACGACCTGCAGAGGAAGCCTTCAAGTGCAAGAAGGAAGAAGAGAAGGCGGACCAGCAGGAGGGCGAGGAGATTCCCCTGATAAACAAAGAGATGATGGAGCCGCAAGGGGCGCTAGCTGAGAAGGACTCAGAGGTTGGAGAGTTTAAGTGGAGGATGCCGGCTGGCCTGACACTTGGACAGGAGGCCGCGATGCCAGAAGAGAGGCCACCAGTTGAGGCCATAGGAGTGGGAGTAGTTCCACCTACAACTCAGGGAGAAACCATGGGACAGCAGGAGGGTCAAAAGAGCGTGGGTCAGACCATGGCTGAGGCTGAGTCAAGGAGGGAGTTGAAGGGATGTTAGGATATGCCTTTGGTTGCAGGTCTGCGGGACGCATTGGGATCTTGGGTCACTGGTTCGGGGCCAGAGGGACGTATCGGCGAGCAGGTGATGCGAGCAGATGACAGAGCGACATGCCCCACTTTCCCAGAGGTCCCACAGCAAGAGGTCACGAGTAAGGTCTCAATAGTCCTGTCATCAGTACCTTTGCAGGAAGGAGACAAAATGTCCCAGAAGAAGATTGGCAAATGCTTCTACTGCAAGAAGGGCAAGCATCGATCTGACGACTGCCCTAAGAGCCTCAAGGATGAGGCAAATGGTTTGACCATCAGAGAGTCATCCGGGGTGTGGAGAGATAGGAATGGAGTCCTGGTTCCTAAGACTCGTGATGGGGTGAGGGCGCAGTTGCATAGGCAGCTGCAGGAGGTCATGAGTGATCAGGAGTAGGATTCTTTAATAAGGCCCGGAAAGGACTGAGTCTAGTATACGCGAGACATCTCTGACTCTCTGACTGATGGTTGCTTGTATATAGGAGGGTGCATGGAGGATTGGATCAGACCCATGTACATCAACAAAGTTGAGCCAGTAGTGAGATGTTATTTCCGCATTATAGACCTACGGACTTTTCCGTACATGAGATAACACTGTGTATAATTCTGACTATTTTTCTATTTTTCGCAAGTGTGGCGTGGAGTGTTAATACCTTTGTGTAGAACTATGGTTCCCTTGTCATCTAGAGTAGGTTGACGCTCATGAGTGTGGAGTGACTGTCGATTTCTGATACTTTGACACTTGGATACCTTGATTCCTTGTTGGATACTTGAACTCTTTGTACGATACCTTGATTTTTCGAAAAGGACAGGAGCCTTTGCCTATTGCAGGGCCCCATGTCCTGTGTACATATGTGAGTCTCGAACCTTGTTTTTCTGTGTGTATGGTGTGTCACACTCATTTCCAGTTTGTGGACTTGCCCATATGGATGATAGTGTGATGAAATAACTGTTGTGAAATGAGTTGATCTGCACTTTCGTCCGCTGTACTTGCGCATCCCTGTCCCAATGACAAGTGGAGCCCAAAGTATAATGGGAGAAAGTGCTCTCATATTTTTGAGAAAGAGATGACATGATGTGTTTTGCACGGATGGAATGATGATGAATGGAAAGGTCACAACCAAAGTTATGTTTTCTGTGCAACTTAGAAAAGAGAGAGAAAAGTCCAATGGCCGAATGAACTTTCTTAAAAGGATGAAAATTGTGAAAGCACTCAAAAGAGATGCTAATGTGAGGATAAAATTTTGTGTGTATGTAAGTCTGACGAGGAGAGGCCAAATATTTTGTGAGAATAATGGATGGAAATTTCTGACAATTATGATGGAACTTTGGAAGATATTTTGAGAGAAATCCCTAAAGACGTGTGACCTCACCTACTTTGATCAAAGTAAGGAAGGCACGACCTTGTGGAATTATTGAGAAATTGGTTGGAATGGTTGAGAAAGGCACTATCCCTCCACGTAGTCCCGTGGGCAGTTGGTATGTGATCCTTTGTTTATTCTAAAGGCTTTTGGAAGAAAGTGCCAGACCACAATGGAGTCAGTCTAAGGGACATATTTTGTGAGGTCAAGCTAAGGGGCTATACTTAGCATCGCTGGAACTGTAGAACCTAACTCCCAGCGAGGGCCGCTGACCGGCACAACCTGGCAGCGGGACCATGGCTTACCAAAGGTTAAGTCTTGAAGGGTCGGCCGCCCGGAGAGGTTTAGCTAGAGGGAAAGTCATTGGGGTCGATTAAGTCAAGAGCCGGGACCCTTCGGGGTACCAAGATAGGAAGAATTGCTTATCGTTGCGTAACCAACGAGGGCACAATCGCTACATAACAACGCGATGGGCCGTGGATTCGGCGTGATCGACCGTTCTATGGTGGGCCAAGATGGAGACCTGAAGTCACCTGTGTTAGACTTCAGGATGGGCGTTCATTATGATTAACTATTTGAGATGGTAAACATTACCATTTGGGGACTAAAAGTGCCCCGTATTTTGAGAGGTCTCGGTTAGGGCCCGCGTCCTAAGTTATGACCCCATACGCGGGACGATGACTTAACAGGACACCCAACGATGAACCGACAGATGTCTACGACAAAGGGAGAGGGCTATCAACCTGCTACCTGGGAGCGGGTAGTACGTTGTAGTACGGAACAAAGTATCTCCTAACTCCGAGGCCAGGACGTGGGAGATCCAGGTTGAAATCCTGGCAGTGGAACGCCGTGACGGGAGCAAATTGATAAGAGCACCTCGAACGGGGTCGAGCCGGTGAATCGGAATGGTTACTTCCTTGTCAGCAAATGTGGTTGAGTTTATAGTTTTGATTGTCCGACGCGACGAGGACGTCGCTTAATAAGGTCCGGAAAACTGTCGGCCCGAATACCCTTACAAGGGTATTTGGGCGCGTTATTGCAGCTTGCAGGAAGTACGCTCCTTGACGATACCTGGGGGTGTGCCCCATTTTTGTGCGACCACAACCGATTCTCAGGGATTGGGAGTGACACGCGCCTTTGAATTGATTAGAGGGTGTGTGAGCGTGCACTTTGTGGGCACGCATTAGCTCCACTAAACGGCGGACCAATAAGAACCATGAGATGTCGGTGGAACAAGTGCGTGCTAGGCTAGAATCTTGGGTGAAGTCACGACCTCGCACGCGCAGACGAAGTTACGGGCAGCGCAAAATTGACTAGGTGAGACAGCGGCTGAAGGAGGACCTCGTTTGGTCTACTGGAGAACGACGTTGTTGTTGTTTTTTTTTTTTGGGGGGGGGGCGCATAATAAGGAGTGCACGAGTACTAAGGGGTTGTGCGCTTCGGTTGGGGACGCCGCCTGGCGGAAGTTAGCTAGGTTGGCGCGAGGCGGATGCAATATAAGTAAAAACCGGGTCTTTCCCGGCAAAGAGGCGGTGAAGGGGTAGTTTTTTTTGGGAGGGGCAGAATAGGGAAACCTCGGTCTATAGTCGTAGCACAAATGGGTTGTGTACAAAGCTAGCCGAGTAAAAACGGCCTCCCGAGTAACAAGTATGCACATAAGGGGCCATGGGCTTGGGAAATAGGCCAAGCAGTGGCCTGGCACAACTTTGCAGGCCTGGGCAGGCTGCAGTTACTCTTTATATAGGGGCTGGGGCTGCTTTACCCAGGCTTGGGCTTAGCCCTATTGGTTACGTCACTGAACTATTAGCCAGCAGGTCTAGGAATCGAGGCCAGCAACCGGCCGCAGAGGAGGGGAGCAACGCACTTTGAAGGTGTCGAGGGGTTGAGGGCCCGGCGGGGCTATCCCCTTTGGTTTTGTTGTCGGCCCATCTGTGGGCCCGGTCGGCGGAACTAAGACGGGTACGACAGTCTCCCTCCCCTAACGCACCGTCTTTTTTTAGTGTTCGTATCTTTGTTTTTACTTTTATTTTTTTCCCGTCCCCTTTTTTTGGGACACGGCGCACGAGGCTGTTTGCCAGGGCCAACGGGCGTGAGCAGTTGGTACAACCATAAGTTGTTGAAACATGGACCGAGAAAAGTTCGACGAGTTCATGAGCTGGTGGGTGCTTTGACCCACGGGGTAGAAGGAATCTGACTGTCGGGAATCCTCTGCGGGCGCATCTGTCCACCAGCTGCAATCTGCGGTGAGAGGTTTGAGTGTGAGCATGCTCGTTGGGTGCGGCAAGGTGCGGGACCGGTCACACAGATTTGCCGAGGTCCTAAAGTTGCCCGTGCGTGTGCCCATTTGTCAACAGCCTGCGTAGCAGCGGGCCAAGGAAAGTTGCGGCCACCGCTGGAAGTGACCACAAAGGCGCTATTTGTTTTATTTTTTTATTTTATTATTTTTTGTGGTCTCCAAGAATTGGTGAAAATTCGTTCACAAGAGTTCTCGCACTTGTGGATGGCGCCGTGTGACCAGCAAGTGCCAATTGCCATTTCTGCAGATGGGCAGGGCCTTTGTCCCATCTGAAAAGGTACAACAATGTGACCCCTTGGAATCCGAAAGATGATGAACTGTGTCGTGGGCACAGTCCAATAAAGAGCACTGGTGGGAGGCTGCCATAGTACTTGCAGTACGGCAGGCTGTCCCAACAGCTGGTAAATAAGGTATGAGCCTAAAAGGGCCACGGGTATTGCGGTCAAAATCCGCAGCAATGCTGACCTGCAAATGGTCCTTCGGACCTGGGTATAGGGCGGAGGGCTATTAGAGCCACCTAGTTGCTAGTTCCCTCTGAAGCTGCCCTCGGGGTAGCTGGAGCTGAAGTGGGGTGCAGTCTGCGACTGCCCCTCTGCCGAACACGATCTGCTGTGAAAGGCTTGAAACTGAGCATGCCCAGTAAGACACAAAAGAGGTAGTGGGCTAAGCTTGGGCCAGCGGGCCGCGAACGTTGGGGCTGGGACATCCAGCAATATTGCTGCAAATTATTAGTCAGGCCTAGTAGTTGTTTCCCCATAAAAGAGGCAGGAGCTGATGGAGCACTTTCAGTATGTTGAGGTGAGACCGAGCGCATCACTCTTTGCTGTCGCCCGTCATCATGGTTGATCCTGCCGGTAGTCATTTGCTTGTCTGAACGAGTAAGCC